ATCCAAGAGAATTCATGCTATCCAAAGCCCTGTGGTAAATGTATAATACACCCTAACCAATAAACCTACCTAACCTAACCCCATGGGACTTGTACAACACCTCATATATTCCCTAGCCTAAAGGTTATTGTAAAGAATAGCATTATTAATGGCCAATGTTACTGAGAGCAACACACAGAGATAAGACGGAAATGGACACTACCATCTTAAAGGTACATCTGCAGCAGCCTCATGTTTACAAAAAATTTAAAATATCCTCTGTATGTCACAATCAGAGACTAAGACCACAAAACCCTCACGCCACCAGAGTTCTTTGTCACATTTTCTATACCTCAATTTCATATATTTTTATGTCCTTTTTCTGTCAACCACAAGTTGCATATTCTGTTGACAAACCTGGAAATCATTTCCAATTAGTTAATTTTCCCCTCCATTACTTTTTCATATTCCCCATTATCTTTCCTATCATTTTTGGATGCTTTAATGTCTTTTCAACTCTTTATGCATTTTATTATTTTTTATTTGAATTTCTATTATTCATGCTTAACTATTTAATGATATTACTGCTTGCTTACATCAACTGCCTCCCATATCTGAATAATACACATACTCAATCACTTCCTCACTTTCCTTTACGCTTTTGATCAGTCTGACATGGGGGTACATTCAATCTTATATTTAAATATTTTATCAGTATAATGTCACTTTTATCATCATATATTAGTGTTATTTATAAATGTTTTTAATTGTAGGTTTGGGCAATTTTGGCTATATTATGCTGGTGAGGCTGACCTCTTGCTCAATCTGTGCCAGTTGCACAAACTAATTTCAGTTCAGCTCACGTGACCCAAGTGCAACAGGGATTATCATTGGATAATGAAATATATTTTCGATGCGACAAATCAGGCAAAATTCATAATAAAAAATTTAGATGCAATTTCATAAAATCACTTGATTTAAGAGACCTTTTCTTTCGAATCTACACAGAATAACATTAAATTTCCAAAGAAGACTGTTTGTGAATGTGCAGCTTATCTGTACCCTGTACACTGACTATATGTCAGATATTTTCAATAACAAATTTGCTGTGTCGCATGACATGAAGTACTAATAAAAGGAAGGGGGTTTGTCCCCTTTCTGTCTAGGGTATAAATAGAAGGTAGGTATGGTTAGGTTTAGATTTTTGGGCTCGCATGAGAGCACAATATTTACTTGTGTAACTAAACAGTGACGCTCAGAGATAGAGTGAAATGAACACTGCCCTCTTACGCAGCATAAGAATAAGGGTAATAAATAACACAGGCACAGCTGCAGCGGTGTCATATTTACTGCAAAATAATGAAAATATTCGCTGTATATCATAACATTCTATAAGTTGGCATGAAGTGTTAATAAGAGGAGGTACAGAGGGGTATATCCCCCGTCTTGAGAATAAATAAAAGGTAGGAAATGTTAGCTTTAGATTTATCCTGGTTTTGGGGCTTCATCTCTGGAGGGTGCATTGCTCTCAGTAACAAATATCTAACTTTTTATTATAATTATATTGTTCAAAACCTGGTTCACCTTTTCTGAGAATGGACTTTCTGCACATATTCTTGCACGCATATAATCGGGAGTTATTTTATTTTATGTTCATTGCACAAAATTTGGCTCTGCTTTTCTAAAAATCTACTTTCCTATTGTTTTCGGGATACAAATTTTGACTTAAAGTGTTTCCTATTTCTTTTTCTTTGATTTCTCTAGGTTCCTACTGACATCCAGTGCCATCAATTATCTCCCCCCCACTACTTCAACCCCAAGTTCCCCATGCATCCCCTATGATCGTTGGGTAGAGGAAATATAAAAGAAATCTTATAACCCTTTTAACACCACTTCGTGCCAGGTTACATCATACCGACATGACATACCGTCAGTGTGGAGGGTACAGAGCTGCACAATCACAAATAGTCATGTTTGGAAACGGAAAGATACTCTGCATATTTCTAAGAAAAGCTGTGTGACCTACACATATTGAGCAAGAGGTTGGCCTGGCCCCTGTAATGTTGCAAAAATTGTTCATACCTACCATAAGAAACATTATCAATAACAGTGTAATGATCTATGATGATAAATGTGACAATACTGATAAAATAATATTAATATAAAATCAGACATATCCCATATTACACTGACCACAGAAGGAAACTGAGGAAGTGATTGAGTGTGTGTATTGTTCTGATATGAGAGGCAATTAAGGTAAAGAAGCAGTAATGTCATTAAAATTTTAAAATGGATAATAGAAATGATAAGGAAAAAAGAAATTAAACTGCACAGATTTTTGAGAAAGCACCAAAATGAAAATGCAACCCTTATTATTAACAGAATACACACTCATTAAAGAGACCAGACTTACAGAATGACTGTCATTCACTAAAGACAGAATTTGTTACAGACAGTGACGAACCCTCCAGAGACTAAGTCCTGAAATCAGGCTATCATGTTAACCCAAAATTAAAATCCAACCTTTTCTACCTTCTATTTATTCCCTTGACAGGGGGACAAGCCCCCTGTAACTCCCTATATTACAAAACTACAAAAAATGCGACATTAAGAACTGGCTGAGTGAGGATGTTGTGGACTTGTGGGCCTACAGTAAATAAAACTGAAATTTTATCCCCCCCTAGAAATGTTTTTAAATTAGCTATTCTAGTATTATTAAGCTATGAATGTTTAATTTCTGAGAAAAATTTAGTCAGTGGTCCTTACAAGAGGGTGGGGGGAAGCCAGACCTTAATGGGGGAACCAGAGTCTGCAGGGTGGGGGGATTGCCCTCCCAACCAACTCCATATGACACCCTTGCTACCACCCCTCCAACCCCTGCACTGGAAGAAAGAATCTTCCATGTATTCACGACAAGAGAGAGCATACAACCCGGCATGCAGGAACGCTCATGATGAATCTGTCCTACACTATCTTGCCATATTCATGTGGTGGATTCATTATTGTCCAGGGCAGAGGTTGGGAGGTAGCAGCCTACCATGTGCCAGGGTGCATTTCATGCACTTAAGCCCGAAGATCTCCAGCGTGGAGTTAGCTTTCCTGTCGGCGTGGATTTAGCTTAAATTATATTCCTTGGCGTATTGGCGTAATGAAATGGAAAAATCTTGGCACATGCTTTTTTATCTTTACTGCTTTTTCAAGCTTTTAAGTTGAACGCAATGCACTCATACATAGGCGTTTGTTTTATTAATTTATAATGCACACCCCCCACCTACACTCCTTGCAGCTGTTTTTTTAACAAACATCTGAGGCTCAAAATCCCAAATTTTTAAGAATCATGAGGTTGGGGAAAAAATTCCCGATTCTTATTAAAAAGTGTGTGCTGCTATCAACAATCTACTTGGCTATAACTTGGCATCATACTTTATGAAAAATTATTTTTATAGGGTACATTGGCATACACTCGATGAGCTATTGGTGTACATCTGGCGTGAATTTTACACAGAATGTACCCTGTACCATGTGGGGGGAGGGGGGTTGCAGGAGGCACAGTCCCCTGCATTTGACTATACAGTGACCAAATCTCTAAATCATTCATATTTTGGTTAATGTTACCGAGAGTGATACACAGATAGAGGGAAATAGATACTGCCATCTTATAGAGCATAAGAAATATAGTTATAAACAACACAGGTACAACTACTCCGCCCTCATATTTACTGCAAAATGACAAATATCTGCTACATATCACCACAACACACTCATATAGCCAGAGTTCAAAATGTTGCATTTTTTGTAAGATGGCATGAAGTGCTAACAAAGGGGGGGGGGTATAGGGAGAGGGCTTGCTACCCTGTCTTGTGAATAAATTGAAGGTAGGAAAGATTGGATTCTGAGTTCAGATGATATTCAGGTTTGGAATCTCTTCTCTCGAAGGTGTATCACTCTTGGCAACAAATACCCATACTTTACCCTAAAATACCCTGAGTACTATTCATGCCTCTCCTGCTATCGGGCCAAGATTGTGGGTAATGGGGGGGTTCTGCTGCATAATTTCTACATATGTAATAGAAAGAGGAATCCATCAATATTAATATCCTCATGATTGGTCATGCGAAGGTATTCCTAATAATTACCTTGACTTTCATGGAGAGAACAGAAGATTCTTCAAGACTGTATGAAGATCAAGAAAAAGATAAAAGTTATATTTGTACGGAATCCAAAGGTACAAACGTATCTTGCAGAAAGTAAAACCTGTCATTCTGCCAAAGAAATAGTGAATTCATACCAAAGCTACCCACACAGCATTCTAGCACCGTAAACTTGTACGATTATTCTGGGAAGGAAGTTCATTAAGTTCCAAATAATTTATCGAATAAAGACCCTGTCTAACCTCTCTTTCGCCAAATACACTTGGAAGTGGATTGTTGACCTTATGAAGCTGGAGGCGACGATGGTTTCATGTTGACTAGATCAGAAGTTCCCTCATTGCAACAGGCAAGGGATGGTAGACTACTTCTGAACCATTCAGGTTTGAATACATATATGTACATATAAATCATCTTGCCAATAATGAACCCACGATTTTTAGTGCTTTCAAAATAGTGTACCGCCCCTGTTTACATAAATAACGAGCCTTCTGCAAAAAGATTTGAAAAGAGAAATCACGACCTGTTTTCCCCCAGCCTGCCTGTGCGGCACAACGTTTGGCAACAGAAACGCAGTAATAATTTCCTTAAAAACCATCAACAGATATCAACATCAGGAAACTCTGTGCACTAGCAAACAGGTCTGGTCTCGTGGCTGCCTGTCTATACGGAAACAAGGTCAGCTTTTCCTCCCGGAGAGCGGCCCGGTCACACGGGACGACTGTCAACCCGCGTTATTCTCCCTCCCGCCGATTCTCTTCCTTTACATGAATGAAAAAGTGCTCGCACGAGGCACCACGACTGCCAGCCATCCCTGGATTGTACAAAAGTCTTCCCGAAGAGGACTCACGGGCCGAACATCTGCGCACTCACCTCCATCACGTCCAGCCCGTCAGCAGCCATGTTGGATCTGGCCGGAGCAGAGCCAGAGCCAGAGCCAGGCCGGGAATCAAGTGAGCCTCGTCTTGCGCGCCTAACTCCTCTTGGGACACTCGCACAACCCTGTCCAGGCTCCATGGTCTCCTAATTGCT